TGTAAGTAAGATCACTCTTGTTTCCTGTTTGGCTTAGTTGCTGTTTGGTCAAGGGGGCTATTTTTAGGTTTGGTTTGTCGCGCCACTTCAGTGAGGGCAAGGCGTGCATAGCCTATCAGGACATCCACAAGATGAGTGCAGGTTTGGACCAAACGGTTCCTGAGTTGGTTTCCAACCTTGCGCTGAAAGTCCTGCCTTCTATGGTTTCTTTGATGGTCCTACAGAATTCCTAGACGCTCCTTAAAAGCAACCATGCGTTATGTAAAGTTGCCAAGGAGTGGGATTTGTCCATTTGCCTCTTTCACCGCATCTTTGGCGGTGACTGCCTGGCCTCAGACTTCCAGGACACCAGGCCGACTCCTGCATGCATTTAAATCCAAGTCTCTGCGACGCCGTGCTAGTTTGAAGGCAGAAGCGCCGCTGTGAGAGCTGTGGTGCTGGTGGCCTGTGACAGTGGTGATGTGGTGGTGATTTCAGGGACCCAGCCAGCGTTCAGCTTTGGACTTTTTTGGACCCACAACCACTGCAAGTGGTTGGGTTAGTCATGTGGACGGGCTCCTGTCCTTTACAAAGTACACATGGCAAACAGGATTCGGATATCCTTTCTTACGAGCCAGCGTCATTTTTGGCAAAAGTTCCCGCAGTTGCTGCAGATGTTATAGCATTCAAGCTCAGGAATCTGGCCGGCGCGGACAAATTTCAGTACGATGAATCAGTGCTTTCTGGTTACGACGACCCGATTGACCGCCTGTTGTACAACACAGCCAAGGACAGCTTTGGGACGTGAGCGGTAGTCTAAACTCCTAGCATCCCCAATAATAACCTCCACCATTAAAAGCCCCTGTAGCATCCGCTGTAGAATTCCCTACATAGCCCCCAGGAGTTTAGACTATAGCTCATGAGTGGGGTGTCGGTTTGGCATAAGAATAGTCCTGATACTAATAAGTGTACTAGTAAGAGTACGAACAGTAATACTAAAGAGGCCTTGAGCCGGCCTTTTGCTAGGAAGTGATTACGTAGAGTATTTCTTTCTTGCTTTGCTTCGTTGTCTCTCTCCTCTCTCTGTCTCTCTTTCTCACTGTCTCTCTCTCTTCTGTCTCTCTCTCTCTCTCTCTCTCTCTGTCTCGCTCTCTCTCTGTGTCTCTCGTCTCTCTCATCTCTCATCTTTCCTCTCCCTCTCTCTCCGTCTCTCTTCTCTCTGTCTCCCTCTCTCTCTCGCTCTCCCCCTCTCTTCTTCCTATTTTCATTTAGCCCCAGGTGCGATAGGGTAAGCCCTGAACCGCATGAGAGTTGGCTGCTGTCATACAGCAGCCACAAGGTCTGGCGTTGGCAGGGCAAAAGTAACCAGCCATCCCTATAGCTCAGAACTTCCTGTTCCCACAACGGATAGCTACCTGAAAACGTCTCAGTCTGAAAACATGAACTTCCCTAGAGGCTATACAACCTCACAGGTCCAAGGATCCGAATAATTAAGACGTTTTAGGGCCCGCATACTATACTATCAATGGTATTTGGGCGAAAACCCCATTTGGGTTCTTGGACCCTTAGGACAATTTTCCTTACCAAGATTATTCAAACGACCCACCGCGAGCCCTCGACCTCGATCCGTTTCATCCAAAGCTCTGCAACCCAAAGCCAATGACCTGAAAGTCATAGACTTGTAGACCCCAACCTTCCATACTCCAAAGTGCCAAATCCTAAATTTTATCCCTATATGGCTCCTAAGCCTTGACTCTGGTTCCAAGTTTCAGGAAGTCTTCGCGGAAAAGCTCCTGGCCTACAACGTGAACCAGGCCATGGTTCAAACGAACACAGTTTCAAGGCTTACCGGATCGGATGTGATTGTTTTTTGTGTGGCTTTGGTGTTGGTTTGGGGTTAGGCACCGGAAATATCCTTAATAGGACGGCCAAAATCATGTATTTCAGTGTTCAGGTAGGGTTCATGCGGTTAGGGTCCTAAACCCTAAACATCCTGAAGCCTTACGCCGCGTGTTCATGCCGGTGGCTTTGGAGGAATTTCTGGGATGTGTGTGCCGTAGCCCTTAAGGGGTTAAGGGTGCTCTTGAAGAGCCTAGACCCTACATCCCTATACTCTATGCTCTGATTTAAGCCTAAACCCTCGAAGGTTGCCTTGAGAAGCTGTTTCTTGATTCGTAAGGAAGGGATCCGCAAGTCAAGGCCGCTTGTGACGGGCCCATGCAGGGATGGGCCCGGTAAGTGACAACTTGGTCTACAAGCAACTTTTAATGGGGATAGGAAAACTCGTGATGAAAACCCTGCAAATAAAAGTTTCGTAGCCAGCAGGCCCACCTTGTATTCTTGAGCCTGCATGAGAAACGCAAAAATGCAACCCCTCAATCCCTAAACTACGAGAAAAAAAAGCCGCCATACCCTCATCTCGCAACCCCTGAAAGCAAAAATAATGTAGTTTCCATAAACAGCAGCGGGGTCCAAAAATGCACCGACAAATACTTACAGGAACCCCCAGAGGCGGCTGGCAATTGTTTGAAATTTCCAATCTAGAAAGGGGGATTCACCAGCGTAGCTCTTAGACTGGACTGTCGCAAGTACGCAGCTGGTTTCCCAACTTATCTTGGGAAATCCTGTGCAAACAATAAGCCCTACACCATGCCTTCCAGGAATCATGTCAGCCATGCTTTGCTCAAGCGGGTCGAGTCCCCGCACTATGATTGGAGCCACTGGTGACAATGTCACCTGCCTGATGAGATTTTCGTCTACAGAATTTCCAGGCAGGTAGTTTTTCCCATCCTTACATGGCCCTTATTTGCTTCGCAGTCCCGGCATATAGTTCAGGTTTATAAGCCTGGTACAAATTGGTACCCACCTGGCAACTCCCACCTGAAATTGCCTAAAAATCTACTAGCAATCCGCTTTAAACATTGAAGTATTTTAGAATGGAAAGCTAAGTGTCCCAAAACAGGCCGCTAAATCCTAAACCCTCTCTGAAAGAATCAGGATTCGACTTTTCCACAGGCCGGCTTTTCTGGGTGTTCAGGCTTGCCCGTAAACCCTAAGCCCACGTGGACTGCTGGGAGGTAAGGTTGCGGGTACATGAACCATAGTCTAAACTCCTTAAACGGGGTCATCTAGGGGAGGATTCTAGGGGTTATTAAGATACTAGGAGTGTAGATTATAGCTTAGATTCGGCTTAGATGATTCTGGGGCAGCTGATGTCATAAGTCATAAGCATCTGTAGGACCTGCAACGATTCAGGTCGCACCCGTTTGGAGACAGTCAGGTCATGGTGGATCTCAAATCGGGGTATTCTTTCAAATGCCCATAGACATTACCAGGAGCTCAGTCTTTCCTGGGTCCTCCGTAAACCGTCCTAAGCTGGAATTCCTATACCCCACACACTCTGCCCTGAACTCCAGCCTCCTGACCCTCAACCCTCACTCATAAATCCTCCAGGAGGATCATGCCCGTCAGTGAGTCTGTCAAGTCAGAGGCATCGCCCTCATCTACCCCAAGCATGGTCATAGAGATCCGAATCTTTTGAATAAGTCAGGCGAGGTGCCCTGCAGTCATGGCGAGGTGGATGCAGGTTCAAGAATTTCTCAAAAATAATGCCTTCTGCTCTTTTTTGCCATTTGAGTCTCCGTTTATTAAGGGGGATACTAGGAGTTTAGATTATTCGTCATGTGATCCCATGGATCCCTAGGGTCCCTAAACGCCCCGTTACGTTGAGAACGAACCCGCGTCACTGCCATCCGAGGTGGTGGAGGCTTCCCAGACAAAGTCTCACCCAAAGCGTGGAAGAACGTGTGGAAAAGAAAATGTGGGTTTGGGATGGTTTAGGGATGGGGTTCCATGCATTTGGGGCTTCAATGAAGACCCCAAAATACTTCACTCCGTATTATAGGGGCCCACAAGGGACCGCGGATTTGGGAAAAGCCCATACTGACAAAACATGGTGTGGAATTTGATGCCGAGGATTTAGGATGAACTACAAGACTCTTTGGGATTCAAGGTCAGATTCTGGCTTAGGGTCTGGAATACATGGTGTATGTTTTCAGGCCGAGTTCGGAATGCGGGAGTCCGATTCCCAACCCAGCAGAAGTGGTCTTTTGGGTCCTTAGTTTTACGGCTTTCCTGTCCAGTGGGTGGCCCTGTACCATCCAGCAACCTTTTGTTCAAGATGATAAGCCCAAAGGGTACTCTGCGTTCCCCCCAGGAGGCCCGGAATTGTTGCCGTAAGAGTACTCCTTTTTTCTTGGCAGCACCGCTTTCCTCCGGGTGCCTTGCCTCACATGGTTGGGCTAATGATAATGCAGAGGAAATATTGTGACTCTGAGCCATGCTGCATGCTGACGTTTTCTGTATCAGATGGATGGAGCATATGTGATAGGCCGAGATACTACGAAGGTACGGCTTCCGAGACCTAAGCTTTCTTAATGAAGCACCCTCATCTGCTACGTATTCAAGACCTGCGATGCGACTTCGACACATGTCGGCACGATTCGCACGAGCCAGATATTCGCGGAACCAAACTGATGTCAAACGCCCTGAGCTGTGGTCAGTCCTTGCATACCTAGGATAAGGCCCACAGACAAATGATTTGGGTATTCATTGCGTTGTGGACAAATTCTGAATAGCATTTTTGAAGACATTCAGCGTGGGCGTGCTCAACCCCTAAACCTTCGCTACGGCTGGCTGCAGAGGCTTAGAAGCCAACCCTAGGTCGGCTTAGCCTTCAGGGATACGGTTTCCGGATCAAGTTCCCACAGTATCCCTAGACCCTATGCCAACCCTTTCCCCACCTCAAGGTAGAACCCCGCCAGGAACCCCTTAGATTTGCCATTGAAAGAACCAACTCACCCCCAAACCCCTACCTTCCCCCCTCTTTCGAATCCAGTAATGTAGACCCATGAACCCCTTCCTTTTGAGGGTCTTAATCTTAGGATCCTTATTATATTCCCTATTAAGGAGGGGGTTCATTAACCACGGGTCTGCTCTCCCTTGTTTCTACAGCGTTGAAGGATCCGCAGAAGCCCCAAGCCTATGCTGCTCTAGCGGCAGCCGGGGCCTTTGTCTCCGCGCTCAGCGCCAAGGCATGAAGCCTCGGTTTCTGAAAACAGGGTGACTATAGGGTCCTCAGGGTTATAGGATCCTTACAGGGATTATTATAGGGATCATATCAAGAAGGAGGCCAAGCTAGAAAGGTTATATGAAGAACAGCAGGGGCTTCCCAGGATCCTTGCAGGGACTATTATAGGGACCATATCAAGAAGGAGCCCAAGCTTCAAAGGTTAGATGGGCTTGGGCTTTTCGGGGATTCGGGGTTGGGATTGAGGGTTACGAGCCCATGTTATGTGAAAGCGGTTCCTTGATCCCTCTACAGTACATATCTCCCATACGCTAAGACAGAGGCACTTCCCAAACAGATGTTCCACCTTTCGCTCCCCAGTGTAGGAGAATCCGTACCGCGTGGACCCTAAAAGGGACCCATCATTTTAACAACTCCCTATTTAACAGATCCACAAAAAATAGGGGTCCTTTTGAGGGTCCCTATATTAAGGGCTATGAGATATCGGAGTCGATGTTTAGGCCCCCTTGTTTATGGAAACTTCCAAGCTAGCTTTTCCCTAGCCCTACAACCCTGTGCCGTAAACATGCCCTCAACCAGCCTAAACCCCTAAACCCTAAACCGGACAGTCTTTGCCGTGCTTGCTGTGCGATGCGCGTGTCTAAACCGCCTAAACCCTAAACCGCCTAAACCCTAAACCCTAAAACCCTAAACCCTTAATCCTGATCTTTGACAGGTGGAGAAGGATCCTGCAGAAGCGCTGCCAGCAGCGACGGGCTGACCTCAAAGTACAGTCCCCCTTAAGTAGATAGAATATGGGGATTTTGGGTCTAGGGTTTAACGATTTAGGGATTTAGGGTTTAGGGTTTAGGGATCAGGGTTTAGGGATCAGGGTTTAGGGATTAGGGTTTAGGGTTTAGGGATTATCCCCCTTAAGTAGAGGTTATATAGGGGTTATATTGGGGTTATATAGGGATAATGGACAAGAAAATGGAAACTACTATAATGGGTTATAGAAGGTTTAGGGTTTAGGGCACCTTAACTAGATAGAATATGGGGATCTAGGGTTTGGGGATTAGGGTTTAGGGTTTAGGGGTTAGGGTTTAGGGTTTAGGGATTCGGGTTTAGGGTTTAGGGATTAGGGTTATAGTCCCCCTTAAGTAGATAGAATATGGGTTATCTTTCTTGGGGCTATATAGGGATAATGGCAAAGACCATGGAGAATACTACGTATATTATAATAGGGGTATATGTTGGGGTTATTGTCCCCCTTAAATAGATAGAATATGGGGTATATGGGAATCTATTATAATATATCGAAAGCCATATTCTATCTACTTAAGGGGGACTATAGGTAGGAATTTCTCAGTGGCTGCTAAGGAACTTACACGAAGTTACCATGCTAGAGAATCAGTTTGGAAAGGAAGTGGGAAGAAATGGAAAAGGGTAATAGTGGGACTATGTAGGGATCTAAAGGGCTCAAACGAAGTTTCCAGTGTAACGAAAACCTATCATCTACCTTGTGATTGTCTTGGGGTTGCTTAAATTAAGTTCCTTAACAGCAACCCAGATTTGCTGCAGGTTGTATCCTACAGCTAATACGGAAATTTTCCGGTGACCTGAATATGCGTAAATGCTGGTTCACTATACTTTTCAAGGTATAGAGCTTGTAATCCCTACTCCATTTTTCAAATGGGATATCCTTCAGAGTCCTCATGGAAGCACTAGGTGTCTACATTACCTGGGACGCAACTTGCACGTAGTTTAGCTTGATTTCCTGCATGCCAGCGCTGAAACCTTAGCGGCTAATTCTTTTATTGTAAAGGATACAAAGAATGGACACTGGATTTAGGGCTTAGGGTTTACAGGGTAGGGTTAAATAAGCCCTAAACCCTACACCCTTAGCAGGAGGTTTCAAGTTTCAAGGCTTCGTCAGCTAGACAGGTCACCAAAACTTTAACACAAGCCCACTTTCAAACAATGTGTGGATTCATGATCTGCTCAGTGCTCTCGACAATTTGTGTCCATGATCACTTGGGCAGGGTTTCTCATCAGGAAGTACGGCAATTCTGTTGCTTGTAGCTAAGCATGCTCTTGGTTTTTTCACGTGGATCCTGGACATTCTGATGGCGCATGTCCCTCGATATGTTTCCCCCAGCTTCGTAGCAGTCTGTATCGAAGCATCGTAGATGTAGGACTACTTTCGGTTATGCTTACGCTGGCTTGCGGGGTGGCCGGAACAGAGGCTGGCTTGGCGTATCACAGTTTCACTCCGTCTCACCGGACCCTCTAGGGTGTCAGAGAAGAAAGGTTTTTTACATTGTTTTCTCCCTAGGGCTATCAATTAAGCTAGGCCTGCTGCTCTGGTATAAGGAGGAGGAGCAGCATGATAAATTTGATCGTATTGCTAGGGACCAGAAGTTTCCCAGCATTTGTTTATACTGAAATTTGGCTGTTTTCTACACAGAGCACAGGACGACCTTTCATGCTCGGGTCTATAACGACCCTCCCTCCCTCCTTGCCTATGATGCTCAACTTATCCGTCAAATGCAACAACACCGAGAGCGCCCTGAAGAAGCGTATCACCTACCTGCTCTGAGCGGACAAGTCCCTCAGTGGACTGCTGTTGCGACGAGCAGGTCAAATACTTCTGAGCTCACATTTGTTTGCTGGGTAGGGGACTAAGCAGGTACCAATAATGGAGAATCAAGTGGAAAAGAACATGTGCACTCAAATGGAACCTTGGTTTATATGGGGGGCGGAAGTCCCGATAATGCGGAATGCAGTGTAGTGGGGCTTACATTAGGGCCCTGGTCCAATGGAGACCCCTAAATCTAGAACCCTATGAGCGCAAGGCTGTCGTGGCTATTCAACTGGGACCAGGTATCAGCTCATGCCGCCGCTGAACGGCGCTTCGAGGTGCCACTCCTGGTTTGGGTTAACGGTTTTTAGGGTCCATTCTAAAGGGGATATAGGAGCTACATGGAGGATTTAGGGTTTGGGGTCAAGACCTTGTTGTGTCCGGCGGTGCGGCCTAGAGGTTCGGGGCTTAGGATGTAGGATTTGTTTTTGATCACTTTGCTTCCTGGCTTGCAGTCGAAACTATGGAGTTTTTTTTGCACGCCTAATGGTTGGTTCCGTCTAAGCTTTTTGTTGATTAGGTGCTCCCTGCGCAGTCATGGCTCTCTACGCGATTCATGCTGTTTTTTTTTGGCAATGTGCTTATACAATGTGGCGCATGAAGCCGTGATGTATTTGGCGCATGTCAGGGCTCACATGATTAGCTGAACAACCATCGCGATGATGGTCGCAGTGTGTAAGTTACTGTTCCGGCACCATGTCCGGGCCTTATGTTTGCTTCCATATGTATATATATATATATGTACACTGAGGAAATAAACGGTCATGATCAGTTTCCAGGGAAATATACAAGGGGAGGCAGGCAGGGGGAGAGAGAGAGAGAGAGAGCGAGCGAGCGAGAGAGAGGGACAAATCTAGACAGGATCGAGGTGTCGCGGTCAGCCAAAGGAGCCAATCAGACTGTCATCAACTTGGTCTTCCTGTCGTCCTCAGGTAAGGTAGTTGCCCCAGTCAGGCTGAAGAGTCTAAAGTCTGTTGCCCAAGAAGTCAGGGCACCCCTAAGAGATGAATCCCTAGCCCTGAATGTGGAGACCTTGTAATTATACTTCAGGACGACAGCGGCCTGCGATGTCGTGTAGAGGGGGTGTCGCACGGCGAGGGGTACTTTCGTCCAAATTCTCAGACCCCACCTGTGGGCATTTCAAAGCAAAGAAAGTCCCCCTTACATACACCAATAAATTACAACGTTTTCCATCGGGACTCCAGAAAAGGGGAGCCTGTTTTGGAAGCTCCTACATGAGACATCATGGATGCTCCGAAATGGGCCGAAAGACTGTAAGATATTCTTCGGAGATCTAAGCTTGGGACCTAAGGCTTTGTTTTCCATGCGAGTGCCAATTCAACATCACTCATGAACCCCCACAAGGTTGCCCAAAGCTGGGTTCTCCTTCATTTCACATGTGCAGGTGCGCCAGTGGTGCGACCCGAACCTTGGACACAAAGTTTGGTGGTCTTGAGTTGGGGCTTTGGGCTTAGGTATGAAGGGAAGTTGGGTTATCCTTGGACCAAACATCTATCATATGATTATAATGGGGTCTTTATTGCTGTGGGCTGGGGGTTTAATTCCTAGGTAGCATTTGGGGATAGATGTTCATTTGCCTGATTGCTTTATGAAGGGATCTGATTGTAAGGGTCGGGTCTACCAGGTGCCGCCCAGATGATTTTACGCGGTTAGGGTTTGGGGTTTAGGGTCTTTGGGTGCAGGGGTATCAGAGCTCTAAACTCTTAACCTCGAAACGCTTGGTTCTCAAAGTTCTGGAGAGAGGCACCTTGCGAAGTACTTGCGCAGTGATGGTATCTTTGGGGGTCTTAGTTGCGAGATTGTGCGTCAAGCATAGGTTTTAGGGTTCTATCTAGGGCGTAGCAATAATGACAATTTGCTTTCAGCGTAGCCCCGTGGTCGGGCGCTCTTATAAATAGACGGTAGCTGGCATGATGTTGGGGAGGCGTTTGCTGGAAGACGAGGATGTAGGCCGGAAGTTTGGGCTTCATGCACTTCCCGCGGTCCACCGAACTTACGTACTTGTCATTCAGACCGTTCCTTTGCCTTGCCCAGGCCTCTGCCTGGGAGCGAAGAGGACAAAAGGCCGGATGCAGCTTCCGGCTTATGAAGCTAGAGCGTTTAAGGTTTTATGGGATGACGCAAACATGCCAAGACTGTCAGAAGGCTTAAGGATGATGAGTCAAAGGCATGGGTCAGCACTATGAGCAAGAGTTTTGTCAATTTATGCTCCTGTTCAGCAGTACCTTAACAATATTCAAGGTGAATGCGCACCCAAACCCTGAACCAAATGCAAGTCCCGGTGTAGGCACAGGCGTGCAACGAATTGGGATGCTTCTGGAGCCCCGTACAGACTATCGTAGCTTGGGATATATATTTCTATATAGATGTATATACATAAGGGCACACACATGTATTTAGAGGAGGAACCCTATTTTTTGAGTTGCTCATTACAACTCATATGTACTGCTGGCCATGTTTGTGGAGAGTCCCCAGGTGGACGTGCGGAAAGGCAACCACACAGCTCCTCGGCTCTTGAGTGGACACTGATAGGTAGGTTTTAGGTTAGGTCCCCCACCATCATGGTGATGGAATAGGCTCATAATATGTATATATATACATATCTATTTATCAACTTATGATAGTTATTTATGTGTTTATTCATGTATGTATGGCCGCCTTGAAAATAAGTACCATAATCTTCTGTGTGCTCACTGTTAGTGGGTGGCCGCTCAACCTAGAGTTTTGTTTTCAACGTTTGTGTGCAGCTGGTTCGTGGTCTCCTTCCATGGGAGCTCTTGTTTTCAAGGGAAATTCTTGAAATCCTCATCTTGGTATACGAGGATTATATGGGTATGAAAGAACAGATGGGAAGACCACCGCCAGATTAATGTGTGTCTTCGAACTTCCGGCTTTGGAAGTTGCGTATTGGATTTCCAGTCCACCTTTTGCATAAACATATACTCGTTTGGAATTCCAGAGGTTTAAGATTTGGGGTTCGGGCGCCCATCATAACAGGAACAGGAATGGCAAATGGTAGTAGTAATAGCTATAGTATTGCCACAGCAACTGAAGAGCCCCTCCTTCAGGCCGGCCGAGCCTACATGTGCTCGCATACTCTATTCTGGGATTCCAAGTCTACAAATAAGACCTAATTGGGCCCTCAACAAAGCCTGTTAAGAATCCAAGGCTGAGTCCCTAAACCCTGAACTCCATCAGTTCTGGACATGCCGTTTGCTTTTGGATCCTGTGTGCCCTGCATGCCTCGAGCCAAGCTGGATGGGGAAAAAATCAGCCCTAAACCTTACAAAAGCCACGAGCCCTAAACCATAAAGAAAATCCTATATGCCAAAAAGCCCTAAGCCGTAGAACAACCCTATATAACCCTTCTTCCGAGTGGGGTGCAAGGTTGGAACTCCCACCTGGCTCTCGGTACTTCTTCGAGGTCCGGGCGCTGGTCCTCGACAGAGCTTTGGATTAATTTTAAGGTCTTGTTGGGTTTGAGGGTGTACTACAGGGCCCTACGAAGGCGGATATAGAGGTGATAGCGGAATACAGAGGGATTGTAGAGAGGACACGTAGCGTTCAGGGTTTGGAGGCTGTTGCAAGCTTAGAAGTCCTTCTGGGGTTTGGTTTAGTGTGCCGGCTGAGCTAATCGCCATTGTGCAGACCTCAAATCCAATGTCTGTGCATGACTAATGACCCCAATAGAGGAGAATCAAATCGAAAAGAAAATGGAATACACCATGGAAACTGGGTCATACAGGGCTCTGTAGCGATTACAATTAGGAACATTATGGCTCTAGATTCTTTGGTATTACCATAGTTGATATAGGGTACCTCAAACAGACCTCAACATGATTCAACATGATTTGGGTAGATACTGAAGCCCGTGCAGTACATGCCCCCCCCCCCCTACTTGCAGGCCTAAACCCTAAACCCTAAAGAGGCCTCGCTTGGAGGCCCAGGATAATTGTAGTAGCTGTTTATGGCTGTAGTTATAGCATGTTATGGCCTAATTCTTTGACCCCACGGTGCGGTTTAGGGGTTTAGGGGATATAGTTGGGGAGAAGCTGTAGCTGAACTGTTTCAACTGGGTTGTAACAAGCCGCCTCCAAGTAAGTTGCCCCAAGAACCTGGGAGCCGAAAAGTAGTGGTTCAGTGAGGGCTCGGGACGTTGAATGAGACGCCCCCAGCCATGATAATTTGTCTCCCAAAAACACTCTGAAGAGGAGCTGGGTGCATTACGTTAACTGCGTGTCCAGCAGTCGAAGGAATCACAACTGTCGAGGGAAGAAGGCGTCATGGCTAAAGTCATTTGCAACCGCCATGGAAAGCACACGAGATGGCTGCGACTATGATCAAGTTGCTTCTGCAGATAAAAAAACCCTAGAGAAACCCATCCGCCTCCATTGCATCAATGCCTTAAATTCTCGAATTCAAGTCAAAACCAGGCAACACGTAGCCCAGGCGCCTCAACTGTTCATACATCCTGAAATCCTCAAACCTACGGTAAAGATGCCGGGGCACCTCGACTATAGACCCGAACCCTGAGATGTCGAAATCGAGCATCGGTAGCTGAGGAGTCCTGGATAGAATACTCCGCCTGGTTTTGAATAGCTCATTGGGGTACAGGTCGAAACTGAAAATATTCCAGCCGACATTCGTCCCCAAACTCATTTTTGTGTTGGACTCCTTCACGCCGACCACGCCGCATCTAAACAAGATCAACTCGTACTGTATACCGTTCTTGCGAAGAGTAGTAGGCATCAAGGCCTCCTACTCCAGAATCCCCAGTATGGAGGTCTGTAACCGTGCTGGAAGGCCCAATGTCTTGTCTCATTTGTTCAGCGCATCCCAGCCAAAGATGATATACGAAGTATTCAACGCCCCACAAAAGGAAGTGCCTCACTTTGTGGTTTTCAGCTCTGCTCACAAAGATCACATACGTACGCAGCCACGCCGTAGAGGCGATGCGATTTCCATATTGGGTTGAGGTCATGTCTGAAAAGTATTTCCCAGACTTCTACTCTACCCCAGACCATTCCGCATTAGTCCCCCACCATAAGTATGCCCTCATTGCCCGAAAGCTCAGAGACCCCCAGCTGTTCTTGGAAAGACGCCAGAGAGCGCTGACTCGCGCGCATGGCCCTAGCAAACCCTTGCCCCCCTAAACCCTAATCCCTAAACTCTAATCCCTAAACCCTGATCCCTAAACCCTAATTCCTAAACCCCAAACTCTAAACCCTAAACCCTAAACCTAAACCCCAAACCCTAAACCCTAATCCCTAAACCCCAAACCCTAATCCCTAAACCCTAAACCCTAAACTCTGAGATGCCCAGGCACCTCAACGGTGCTTTGGTCCTCTGCTCCTTCGCCTCGCGCCGCAGCGGACCTCCGCCTCGCACCCGCACGTGCGAAGGTGCCACCGGAAGAGCCCAATGGTTTAGGGTTTAGGGGTTTAGGATTTAGGGTTTAGGGTGTAGGATTTAGGATTTAGGGTTTAGGATTCAGGGTTTAGGGTTTAGGGCCACTGTTGAACTTTAGGGTTTAGGGTGACGGTGGGGATCTAAATAGCGCATTGTATAGGGAATATATAAGGATTGTAATTCGCTATTAATTACTAACCCCCAGTAAGTAAAAATAGCTTCTCGCCCAATAACAGTGAAGGAGGGTGAGCCTCAAATTCTGGTGTCCTTGGTAAAGGGCACCTACCTTGGCTATAGTACAGAGACTTAAACAAGTGACAATATCATGATGCTAGATTCCTCGTCTAACAATGGTATTGTATCAGTGCAGATATTTCGAACTACGTCCTCCCTTGGTATAGGGGCCGCAAAAAGAGCGTGTCGCCCCTCCAATTGGGGGCCTACCCTCCCTTCATACCGCCTCAAACCCCTCAATCCTCCACACCCCCAATCCGCCGAAACCCACCCACCTCAAATTCCCTGAACCCCCTCACACGCTAAGCCGGGAAGGCTACGCTGACCTCGCCACGGCCGAGCTTCCAGGACACCCCGACCTGTTTCAGGTGGGTTGTAGACGGGTAAGGGATGGCTAGTTAAGAACAGGCTCTGTAATATGCGCAGATAGAGACATGCGCACACACACATATACACACATACATATATATATATATGGGCACACTTTTAATATGTATTATGTAAAGTTGTTCATTTTAGGTTGCGCATAGAGTCTCGTAGTCCAATGCTGGGGAGAGGGATCGGGAGATGCGAAGGGTCGGAGGATTGGCAATACTGTCCTTTCATGACTCCCATATACGAAATGCTGTCTATATAGTACCTTTACATATTACGGGGAATTCAAATTGCCACAGGGGCTTTCATTGGGCTTCAATATGGCTGTCGCTGCGCTACTTGTGACCCCACATATGAAATATGACTACTACTGGAACCTAAGCACAGAGATGGATTGAGAAGCGGTTTTGATGGGGCGTATTGAGATACTTCTTCTGCTGCCTCTATGGTACCAAAACACGTATTTGTTGGTAAGGGGTGCGGGGTGCTGTTGTTCGGAAACGGCTCCCACAAGTCCCTCCAGGATCCAGAATGATCAGGGAACCTCATCTCAACCCTTGGTTTGGTTAAGCCCTAAAATCTCCAAACCCTACCCTAAGGGTCCAANNATTTGGGTCCTTGGACTTAGGGCTACACACTTCCGACCGCCAGACGGAAGGAACAGCATCCCACAAGCAAAGAGCTACACAAGACAGGTTATGCAAGCCTTTTCGCCCAAGCCCTCCAAGTACTGAGCCCCGAGTCCTACAACTGAGCCCATGCTTTGGGGGCTGCCCCAAACCAGTAACAGTCTGTGAAAATCTGAAAGTATATTATGATTGTTAGCTAGCTTTTGCTGGATAAACGCGGTACCCAAGTGGCCTCGCTGGCAGGACTTCCTTGCAAATTGCAAAGCTCCGGGCCACTTTGCACCTCCAGAGCGAGGTCAAAGGCGGGCCTGCCAACACATTTCCACCGACACCCTATTATAAGGGGGGTTATGTAAGGGGTTATANNGGGGTTGTGAAGGGGGATGCTAGGAGTTTAGACTAATGTGGCGATGTCCCCCAAAAATAAACTGGAAACGTGCGTTGGAAGAAGAACACCAGGCCATTGTGGAGCCCCGTTTTGGGATTTCATGTTTAGCATGTCCTTTTCTTTGTCTATTGATTAGACAGCTGGGCCAATGGATAACGGTGCCCTCGAGTTTATTGAAGGGATGCCGGTATATGACTATGTTGCTAACCTTGATATTGTCTGCAGGTTTGACGTGTCTAAAGCGTCCCCTGCATTGGAGACGATGCGTAAGCCATAGTTCAAGAATGTTGCGCCAAGCCTTGTCAATCAGACCTCAGGGTGTCATTCCCATGCCAACATGGCCAGCAAGACCATTCTCAAGATAGATTTTGTCCTGCATTGACCCCTAGCCCTGCATAATACTGTTGAGTCACAGGCAAGCGGGGGAAAAATAAAACTGTTGAGCACTTATCCCTAAGGGTCCAAGGACCCAAATAATAGGGTTTTAGGGCCCAAATACCATTGATAGTATAGTAGTTGGGCCCTAAAACCCTATTATTTGGGTCCTTGGACCCTTAGGGTATAACACTCCAGACCCCGTAGACTCATGAAGCAGCATGGTTGAGTCTTATCAGCAGCTTTAAAGCGTAAAGCCTACCCTAAGGATCCAAATAGCCCAATGTAGGTAATATGTACAGACTTTAGGGCCCAATGTAGGTATTATTTATATGCTTGGATCCCTAGGGCTAGCATGGTCTCAACGCTTGAAATCTTGAAGCGCAGCTGCCATGAGCAATGGTTGTTCCAGTTATTCTGAGTTATTCTATCTCGGAGTCTTGGGATCTTAGCAAGAAGCTATAAACGCCCGCGACAGAACATGCTGCATGCCAAACACCATGCCAATATGCAGCAGAAAGACTCTATATGGTAGTTTCCATAAACGCCCAATAAAGACAACCCAATAGTGTGGTCCTTATCATAGGAAGCCCCAAAAAGGTACCCTTGTTTTTTGGAAACCACCATGTACTCCTGACTCGGGTCCGTAGTGCGGTGAAGATTCAGGGCCAGCCACAGGGGGTGGTAACTTGGGACATGTTTTTGGGTACAACAGGGTTGTAAAGGGGATAAAAATGGTTATATAGGTTAAATGAGGGAGGGATATATATATATATACATATACAACTATAGGGTTTATAGTGCCTAGGGGCTTTAGCCATTATTGCCAATCATGGAAAATCACGTGGAAAATGACATGCAACTACTATTTAGAATTGAAACCAACCCTTGCGGGGTTGGTCTCATCCTTCTGCCTCCTTCACTTCGTACTAACTACCAAGTAGTGATCCACAAAACCCCTTCTTGGGTTCGTGAAAAAGATCGTCCCTCCCTTTTCCAGCGTCCGCCAAGTTACCAAGCTCTCCTGCTTGGCCCTGAAGGATGTCGGATTTTTCAATCCCACCCTTGGGTTTAGGGCTTAGGGTTTAGGGTTTGGGGTTTAGGGTTTAGGGCCTAGGGTTTAGGGTTTAGGGCTTAGGGATCATCATCCCTAATGGAGGGCAGCCCATATTGAGAACGCCCCTTGTGAGGTCCAGCTCGCCAGCTGCACCAGCTACGCACAAGGCCCTGGAGCTACCTACGGGGGGGGGTTAGTAGGGAAAGGGAATCCAATCCCTATAACCCCCGTATAATGTATTCTCTTATTTCCCACTAACGTTCAGGAGTAGGGCTTGGGGATTTCTAGAAATTGGGATCCTCTGATATATCCCAAAATTGTTGGATTTTTTCTAGGGACCCCCGAAAGAGGCGCGCAGTTGTCCCTGAACGTTCAGGCCCCAATTCTAAGCAGATGCATGCCTCCACCCCAAACAACGCTGCACAGGCAGAGACTCCTTCAGAACATCCAGGACCCGTTTCTGCACATGTGGGGGTTCCATATATACATATTTAGGGGGACCGCTTTTTGGAAACACCCGCGTCTGAAATCAGAAGTCTCTGCAGTAGCTCCTCGCCAGCTTGGGTAGAGGGTCGCAGGGTTGTTCAGCAGGTGCTTTCTTAAAAGGATTCAGTGCCCTCCATGTTCCTCGCAGCGGGGGTACCTTTTTGTGAGGAGCCTAAACCCTAATCAGTCTGGACGAAGTGTTAAACACCAAGGATGGGTCATCTCTCGAGGTCCCTAGAGTTGGGGGCCTTGTTGGCTTTAAAATTTGAACTCCTTTGAGAAACGTAAAAATAGTTCAAACATGCCATGGCACCGACTTGCTTACTGTAGAAGCTTGAATAGGGGGCAACATGCTCCTTCTTGTGCACTTTCTCCCCCACGCCATTGGCCCCCTCGTCAGAGCTTCTTTGGGGCTTGTACATATACGTATGTCCGTATTTGCACGTATACATGTACATTCATGTATGCATATGAATCTGTATATATATATATATGTAGATATGTGTGTTTTATAAGGGTTTGCATGTTGCTACCGCCCTTCATAGGCCCTGTCCACTGCACAGGGCAGCCAACGTACCATGATGAGTTTTCGGCAGCTGCTTTCAAAGCTTTGATGCTGCGGACAATCATTAGGGCTACTATCTTAGCATAGTCTCTACTTGTACTACAGTTTATAGTGTACGCCATAGTATACCCCAGTAGTACTCCATTCCAGCTATTCAGTCCCTACCCGTCCTTGTCGCAAACAGTTGCAGGGAGCGTGTGCTGCGCTGTGGAGGCAGCTGAAACGCCAACAACAGCTGGCGGAATGCTCCTTAGCCCCAGAGTGTAAGTGAGGTGCTTTCTCAAAAAAAATCTGGTTCCTTCAAGAAGAGAGAAGGGTCCTTTGGAACAAGCAAGCAAGGGTGTTGGTGACCATGACATCCATAATGGAAGCTGCCCACTGAGCAAATTGTAACGGCACTGCCCCACCTCACCCTAAAGAGTAGCCCCGAATTGGCTAAGTATCAAGTTCTCAAGCTTTTCTAAAATGGGTGGTTGTCAAAATGATGGTCCCTTTTGGGTCCCTAATATAATACGGCCCCTAATATTTAGGGTACCCAAAAAGGGACCATAATTTTGACAATCCACCCAAATGGTCAGTACCCATGAGCCTGCAAGCAAGGACGGGCTCGTCCTCCCCGGAGCTTTCTCCGCGACAGCCACTTCGAGCCCTCAGGGAGCTCCTGGAGGTGGTTGGCATCAGGAGCGGGAAGTAGGCTTGAGGAATATTCGTAATGACAATAATGGTAAGAAGAATAAGAGTAGTAGTAGTAGTAGTAGTAGTAGTAGTAATCCTTGTAACAAGTAGGTCAGAACAATAATAGTGGGCTACAGCAGTAGCCTGGAGCTTTGGATCTAGGGTCTGTAGGACATGTAGGTTTTGATCTTCAATCTTGGGGTCGAAGGTTTCAGTTTTCGGAGAGCTTTGGTTGGCGGAAATGGCTCCATAGGGACCTCCGTGCTCCACACGCAGGCCCACATATCCCCAGCATATCTCCAGGCTTGCCGATTGGGAACGGCTACACACCGGTGATGTGATCTCCTTTGTATGGGCGCGGTTTAGGGGTTGAAGCGAGGTTAGATTGGGATCAGGTACAAGAACTTCTTTTCAAACCATCCCTACATCATCCTGAATATAGATCTCCCAGATTCCCCACATATCCCCTGTGTCTCCTAGGGCCTTAGGCTACGTCGAAATCATCAACAGCCAGACCTCACGTCCTGCATGCTCTACACCAGCAGGTCGTCAGATACCTGCGCAATGATACTCAAAATCGTGCAGCTGAAAGGCTCTTTACAACAAGGAGGGAAGATTCAGAGAGCTTTCTGGGCTGCGTTGCTACATTATATTATGTGTGCAAGAAGCAGGGCGGCCTTACCCCGGTCCCCTTAACAACTGCTGCGTTCCACAACAACGATGTGCCTGCACACAGGAAAGCCCTATTGGATTCCCTGCCTGTGGTCTCTACCGCGCGATGTCGCGGCACAAGCCCTGCCGTTCGGGGTATGGTGGCTGCCTACCTACATGCCCGGGCAGGCAGAGGCCAGGCTTTGCTGTTGTAATACAATTGCCTACAAGGGCACGAGAAACAGTGGGTCCAAGCATGGAGACCGCCAGGGTAACCGTAAACCAGGCACGTGCGGCCTTTCAGGTTTGCAGAGTGCGTTCTTTGACTGGGCTTGCTGGTGGGGGAAGGCGAGGAGAGGAGGCAATGATTAACCTCAAACCTGAAACAGTCAAAGCCTATGCAGATCAATGGCTTCCTTTTAGTGCACCAGAAGTCTTAGACTCTCAAGTTTCAGCCATATTCTGTGTACCCAGACTTCACGAATATCCCCCGGGCAAGACAGTCGAACTGTTCTTGGGACGTGCTTTTAGAAGCTCTCGAAGGCAATTCACGACCTGAGAGCATGGTATTCGTTGCAGGTATGCTCAAGAACCCTGGACCGGAGCCTTATCCTCCAACAGGAGTGATAGTGATATCCAAAGGCAAAAGCCCTAAATTTGAAAAATAAGGCAGAGCCTTAAACCCTAAAAGGAACAACAGCCTTAATACCTTGAACCATGAAGCCCGTGAGGCGCCAGCCAGGAGTTTGACTTTGAGGCTGGGTTGCTGTTAAGGAACTTAAATTAAGTTACCATAATGGGTATATGTAGTAACAATAGGGTTCCCCCAATATAGTAACTTAAATTAAATTCCTTAACAGCAACCCAGGTAGAACCAGCCGGTGGCGTTGCCGCGCCGTCAGCTGAGCCCGAGCCGGTGGAGGAAGCGGGCTTCGGGGCTGGGATTGTCTTTTTTTTTTTTTTTTTTTT